TAAAAAAAAATTTAAATTAATTATACTCAAAATTATAAAGTTACAGGACCAGTGACAAAACTTTTCAAATGCCCCACATATTAACATCATTTTTTCTCTAATTGAAATCTCTTCAACTATTTTTCTTGAATTTTCAATTTCATTATTAGATATTTTGTTCCAAAGGGAGAATTGCAGTTTTCCTCTATCAATCTCTGTAACTTGGACATTTATATGTTACGTGAATCTGCTGTAGCCATATAGGAAGACCCCCATCAAAATCTGTGGAACAAATTTATTAACGACAAACGTTTTAATTAATAAGGAGACAATACTTAAATCCGTTGTAACAAGAAATCTGCTGTAACGAGGTCCGTTGTGACGAGATTTGACTGTAATATATAAAAAAGGTGGTTAACCGGTTAAAAAAAATATCTTAACAGGTTGACCATTTGATTGCAGTTAACCGGCTAAGAACTTAATAAACTCCAGTTGATGAAAAAACTTTTCAGATGGTACCAAGCTTTCAGATATTATTACTATTATTGTTATTATTACTATTATTGTTATTATTATTATTATCATTATATCCGTCATTATTACTATTTAATGGTTCGAATAAGGTTTATTCTAATTATTTGTTATGAATTTGGGTATTCGAATAAACGAATAACAATTAATTTGAATAAGAATTTGTATTACAACTATGAATCTTATCCTGCTACGAGTATTGTATTTATCTTTTTTATTTTTATTTTTGAGCAAATGTATGTTTTTTTGTCATTCTAAGTAATGCAGATGGACCCATCTCAACTAAGTGTCTATGCCACTAAATTCTGCATCAAAATTCTAGATGTAAAAAATGAATGTTAAGAGAAATTTATTTTTATCGGCTTGTACAGTATCATATTAAAGAATTAAAGATAGTAATAATAGAAGTAAAAATACTAATGATTCCCTGTCAAAGTTCCTTATCTTTGACCTATTTTTTTTTATTGTTCTTTGATCCATTTTCTTTTACTGGTCCCCAATCCATTTTCTGTTCCAATGCCTCAATTTTTCGTTTTTTTGATTTAGGTTTGTTGATATAATTAGTTTCTGCTATAAGCCTATTCCAAAAATTTCTCATACAAAGTACAAAATTCAAAGTAAACTGATTATTTTGTGCATTTGTATTTAATTGCATTATTACTTCTTGATAAATTTTTTCCAATTCAGAAAACCATAATATTGTTCTCTCCTCAACTTCAATTTTCTTCTCATGAACATCAAGCAGTTGAAAAAGAGGCTGGTTTTGCAATAATTGTTGTTTTTTCAATCCATGTCCCCTGGTGCTGATGTTGCTATTATATTTAAAAGTTGGTTTGAGATTAAAAATTTGGGGTAAAAACCCTTCAAAAAATGGTTTTAAAGTTGTTATATTGTTTGATTTCTTTAATAAATTTAAATGGATCAATTCAAATGGAATATTATTCTGACAAAATTCATTGTAAGTATGTATAATCAAGTCAAATGCACAACTAGTCATTCTTCCTGGTATTGATCTTTCAGGATGGAGTAACAACTCTCTATCAATCCACAACTTTGATATAATTATATCATTGAAACATAATCTTGTGATTAATGAATCTGGATTGAATTTTTTTAACACCCATCTATAAAAATGACTGCTTAATCTCAATGATCGTATGTTGTTAATTGGCATCCCAATATTTGAATTTATAAATTTACAAGTATCATCACATATCAATCTGTTAACATAATACTTTGTCCAATAATAACCATTTCTCAAGTCCTTGATATTGTGTGGATAATAATTATAACCATAATCATAATAATAATCATATTTATAATAATAATTAATAGATTCTTCATTGATGTTATCTATAATATTGATATTACTTATATTGTTGCTGCTAATTAAACTATTTTTATCAAAAATTTGAAAATCAATTAATTTTTTTCTGGTCTTATTATCAAAATAATGATAAACCAGTGCTTTAAGAAATACAAGTTCTAAACAATTATCTTCAATTTGCTTTCTTAGAAAATCTAAAACTTGAGGTTTTTTCAAATTTCTATTAACTTTAATAGCTTCTACAATACAACATCCAACAATATCAGATTTTGATTGATTCCTAACAATTTGAAAGGCTTCTAAAAGTGTCATTCCAATTTTATCAATATGTTGTTCATACAAAATTAGAATATCAGTCATGACAGATTTTGTCAACTTGAATCCAACTTTTACTAATTGTTGTATACGTTTGACAAAGTCCATTGTAGTTGGATAATCACAAGCTTCTTCATTTTTATGATTTGGGTAGAATAAAATTAACAAAGAACCCTGCAACACCAAATTATTGACATCTTTACATATATCATGATAGCCAATTTGTTTCCAGAATTCTACTATCTCAGGATAAATTAATATTGCTCTTGCAATTATGTTCAATTGCTTGTTGTTTTCAAATCCATCCTTGGCTGGATATTCTTTATGATTAAGTATTTGCATTTCTATTTGGTAATCAATTGAATCTTCAAATGGGATAATTTGTCTTGGGGGGAAAGGTATAAACTTTTTATTTAATATAAGATCCTTTATTTTTTCAAGATTTTCAATTAATTTTTTTGGAGCCAAGTCTATGGCTAATGGCCCTCCGGTCAAAAAATGAAACGTTTCAATATCATTTCCTTTCAAAGGAAGACTTTCACCATACTGCAATTTGGCTTCCTTTAACAAAACTACAAATACCACTACTGGAATATTCGAGGCCCAAGGATTCCTATAATATTTTCGAAAAGCTTTAGATATTCCTTGATCCATGTCATTATTATTGCTGTTGTTGTTGTTGGCGTTGATGTCATTTTGTATTTTTAATTCAATTAAACTATCGTCGGTTTTTCCGAATTGTAATAATAATCGTTGCACGAGATATCTGGATAAAATCACGTTTTCTTTGATAAGAAGATCAACTAATTCTAATGATATAAAGTTATGACCAGAATTGCATTAAAAAATGAATGTGTTTTGTCGTGATTCTTAATGATCCAATTTGCTCTTGATTTGGGATCTTTTGATATCTTATGCCATGATTTATCAGTTAAAATGAGCGAAAACGGATAATTTTGTATTTATAAATATTAATTTTTGATTTTTTTTTCATTTTTTTCTCTCGACCGAGAGAAAAATATGTCATTTATACATGATTTATATTATAATTTTTTTAGTTAGGTTTTAAATTCACTATGCCCGGTCACTTGATAAAATTTAAGGTTCAAATTTAAGTATCAACTTTATAAATGACTGCTAAACAGTAGTAATTCAGTAAGCACACATTCCTTATATATTAATGATGAAGGAAGATTATGCTGTATAGTACAAAGATTTGTATGTGCTACACGATAATGTTCCTTCCGGGTTTTTGTTTGTTTGTTTATAATTAATAAATCTGTACTCCTTTTATATTCCATATTTATTAACAGCGACATACCACTCACTTCCGGAATTTTTTGAAAAGTAAATTTTGGAATAATCACTATCTTATCATTTTTTGTCGTGGGCTCTTTAAAAAACTCCTCGCCGCCTTGATTTTTTAATGTCAAATTTATCAAGTCGGAGGAGTAATATAATTTAATAATTTATATTATCATTTACAACTTTATAATAATAAAGAAAAAAAATACGTGACAGGAAATATGTATCCAAAAAACTGCAGTGAAAACCTCAGGCAAAAAAATCCAAAGAGGGAATAACATCCAAAGTGATCTTTAAATATAAAATCGTGTGATTGTTTTTTGTTTGTTGTAGTTTTAGTTACATGATTCTAAATTGGTTGATTTATCATATTGTAATTGATTTTTTTCTACAGATTATTTTCTAGTAATGTTTCTTTGGAGAAGCACTACCCCATCCAATTCGATTATAAACTATTGTCCTGCGCTACAAATTTACAAATGTTTTATTTACTACTTAATAACAAGTTTAATAAATCCTATTACGTTTTTCCTAAAACAGATTATGTAATCAGTCTTCTGTTATATAATGGAAAAATTAATTAAAAATCAACAAATAAAATTTCGGTTTTTCCGTAATGCTTTGATAATAATGTTAAGAAATATAATAATTGGTTGGGTAAAATTCGTTGGACCATTTTTTTTTTTGTTGTTGTATGTACATACCTTCGCATATAATATCAATGTTTTTTTATATTAACTAGTTATTTTTATTATATAAACAAATGAACAACAGATCATTCTATTCTCAGAGTTACGAGGTAATGATTCTCGGGATAGACAAGAATTTAAATAGGAAAAATAGTAAGTAAAAGTTACACATTGTTTTTATAATATATTAAATATATCAATTAGGCGCTTTGTATATATTAAATATATTAATTAAAAAAATGGCGTATTTATATATAATATACATATATTTGCATTTTTATAAACTCATAATTCAT